AACATTCACAGTGTATTGTAAAATTACGGTACACAACATAAAAAATTAGTGTAACATTTCGAATGTCCATTATGCTTGTGCGACCTGATATTTTTTGCTAGACCCACCTCCCTTAATATATCAGCTAATATATGGCATGTCCCTAACTAATTTTAACTAATTAATAGTATTTATATAGCATTATTTATTAGTGAATTGTTGGTTTATAGTTCGTAATTTCCTTTAAAAAAAAAAATGGAAGGTAATAATGACAGCAGCAACAACAACGACAACAACAACAACAACAACGATAATAACATCAATAGCAACAGCAATAATGATGACATTAATGGAAAGGACCTCATCAACAGTAACACCTCTCAAAAACTCTTTCCAATAATCTCTACCACAAATGATTTAAAAGATCAAGAAAAGGTTAAGATCGCTGGCTCTGCCTCTTCATTGTTTAATGATTCTTCAGAGCAAAGTCCGTTCGATTCATTATTCGCAGCAGATCAAAGCTTACCAAATAATACAAATAATAATTCAAATTCTAACCAGGTTTCTCAAAACAACGTTTCTGTTGAAACTTCTTTTGACGAACTAAGTATTACAAATGAACATCCTTCCACAAATCATTACTACAATCAATTTGATAACTCTCTACAATACAACGCTTATAATGCGAATGATTTATATTACGATGTTGTTAGACCGGCTAATGATGAAAACTACCCTACTTCATCTCAAGCTAACGGATCAATTGAAAATTCTGAGAATCAAATTAATAGTACAATAGTGCAAGATCAATATGATTATTCGGGATATAATTATAATGCTTACTCACAATATTCTTATGATTATTCACAACAACAACAGCAACAGCAGCAGCAGCAGCAGCAGCAGCAGCATCATTATGATCCAAATAGTTATCAACAACACGATTCTTCATCTTACAGTACTTCTTACTCTTATTATTACAGCCAAAATCATGACCCCAACAATGTCTATCAAAATCAACCTCATGATCAATCTCACTACAATACAAATGTTAATGCAAATGTTGATGGAAATATTGGTACTAATGTTGATGCAAATGTTAATTCAAACTTTGATTCTTATATTGATACTAATGCTGGTACTAATGTTGATGCAAATTTTGGTGCTTATATTGATACTAATGTTGGTACTAACGTTGATGCAAATGTTGATTCAAACTTTGGTGCTTATATTGATACTAATGTTGGTACTAATGTTGATGCAAATATTGGGACTTATACTAGTACTGATGTTGGTGCTAATGTTGGCACTAATGCCGACACAAACGTTGGCACCTATATTGATGCAAATTTTGGCACAAATGTTGATGCAAATTTTGGAAATACAACAAAAACTCAATCACCTGCTCCACCACCATCGATTTCACCAATTTCATCAGTTTCAACAGTTTCTACGAATTTGGTACCTTGTATTCATCCACATTGTGAAGGTGAAAATAAACCCACAGCAAAATTCTGCTCAGAGTGTGGCCAACCTATCAACAAAATTAATACTAATCGTCTGTCATATCCAGTTACAGCCGCAAAAAATGATTCTGAAACATCAAATATTAATAACGATCCTTATTATAACGGAATAAATGCCCATGCAAGACAATCATTACCGTCCCTTCTTTATAATCAGCATCAGGCATCTTTTTCCACATCCTCATTCGCATCTTACAGCAATTATCCCTCACCGCCAATAATTGACTATTATAATAAAAATGCAAATTCTTTTGTAGACAAAAATCAATTATTATATCATCAACAATATAATGCAGATTCTTTTAATTCCTTAAATGATCCTTTGGGAAGGTCTAAAGGTTGTCCTGTTGTAGCATTTGGCTTTGGTGGTAAAGTTTTTACAATGTTTCCACGTACTGTGCAACGATTTACTGGTACAGATCAGAATATTGCTATAGCAAAATTTGCTCCAAGTGAATTCACCATACGCACACTCAAACGTTTTATTTTCACATCCGATATCGATGAATTTCCTGGTCCATTGCTCATGGATAATAATAAAGGTGGTGTTAAGGCAAAAAAAAAACAACTGAATAAATATCTTGGTGATAAAATAATTTCATTACAAGATTCAGTAATGAAATTCTCTGGTGAAGAAATTGAAAAGAAAAAATTAGAATCAACTTTGGTTATTTGGCAATTATTAAAATCTTTATTTGAAAATGATGGTGTTATTATTGGAAAGTCAGTAATTTTAATTTAATATTAAATTAATTTTCAACACACACACACACATATATATATGAGTGCATTGTTTTAATATTTAGTTTGTTATATATTTTTATTTAATACTTGTAGTCCAAAGATCGATGAAACAATTCGTAAAATATTGGTCCCAAATATATTTGTAAGTGAAAATGACGAATCACATTTTACTGTTCCTGCTAGTGGAAGTTTTGATTCATCTCAGGGTTTATCACAAACACCAGCTACCACTTCATTATCATATACAACATCTTCTAAATCCATTGACGAACTACAAAATCTTCTACTTAAAGGTGATCGTATTGCTGCAATAAGACTTGCTATGGATGAAAATTTATGGTCACATGCTCTAATAATTGCAAGTTGTGTTAATAAAGATACGTGGAAAGATGTTGTAAACGGCTTTATTAGGCATGAAATGGGTGATCAAATGGGTGATGCATTTCAATCAAATGGAAGAGAAAGTTTAAGAGTATTATATTCATTATTTGCTGGAAATGGTCCTAATGCAGGTACAAATCTAATAATATTATTATCTTTTTAATCATTATCAAATTCGCTATAATTAAATTAATGCTATCCTTTTTTTTATTTTATTTTATTATAACCTCACAAAAGTCAAAGAATTTTTCCCACAAAGGACCCTTCTTAATCAAGCTTGCTATTCACCGGTTAATCCAGTATATTCTCAAACTTCTAATTCTAGTCAATTCAATCTTTCACTTAATACTCCTTATGTTGTTGCTCCTGTGACTCCAGCTTTCTCGCCTGCGCCTATAAATGAGATGCAATTAGAACGTTTGATAAAATGGAGAGAGACCTTAGCTATGATAATAGCAAATCGTTCACCTGGTGATAGTCAAGCCATTTCTGCTTTAGGTGATTTGTTAAAAGAACATGGTTGGGTTCATGCGTCTCATATTTGGTAAACTAATTATTATATTTACATATCTATCTATCTATATCATATGTTATATTCTATTTTTCTATTTCTCCTTCCATCTCTCTTTAATTAATTTTACGTGTTTATATGTTTATAGTTATATTTTATCACCAAAATCATCGATTAATTCTGGTATTGACACACCTAATACTCGTTTCACCCTGGTCGGAAAAGATTATTTGTGCAGCAACTCAATTGATTATTTTCATGATTGGGAAGCTTTACGACTTACTGAAATTTACGAATTTGGAATTTCGTTAACTGGCAATGAAGGTGGTTTGCCTTTTTTACAGGCCTATAAGCTTATATATGCTTGGTGGTTAGTTGATTGTGGCCATTTGAATGAAGCAAGAAGGTACTATTTATACTTAATTTTTCAATATAAACATAACTATTTGGGAATTATTAAAAACGATATTTACATTAATATTCAGATATTGTGAATCAATTGCAAATATAGTGAAAGTTTACACTAAAGGATCGCCATATTTTCATGGTTGTTTCTTACAAAAATTAAAAGATTTGACCCAACGTTTATTAGAACATGGTGGAAGCAATTCAGGGTATGTATATAAATATACTTTAAATATTTAAAAAATATAATTGAATTTTGGGCTTATATCATTTATCATATAGCACCAACGAGTCCTCGTCATGGACTTTTGCCAAAAAAATGCCTAAAGCTAGTCTTGATTCTTTGTGGGAATCATTGGAAGGAAAGTTTAATAAATTTGTTGCAGGCGACTCTGTTGACAAAAGTGACAAAAAAACACCCTCCACAAATTTTGAACCAGTTGGACCATTTTCTCATTATAGTGCAATCACCCAACCAATTCCATCTCGTAGTACCTCAGCTGATTCATATGGTGGTTATTATGGCAATGAAAACAACTTCAATACACAAGATCATCAGCAGTTTAATAATAATAATAACAATAATAACAGTAATGTTGATAGTAATAGTATTAATAATATTAACAACAACATCAACACTAATTACATCAACAACAACTACATCAACAACATAAACAACACTAACAACAATAACACCAACTATAGTGACAATATTACTAGCTATGGTAATAATGATTATAGTAATAATAACTACAGTAATAATGAATTTGAAAATGATGATGATGATTTAGGCTTAAGTAATAATGCATTTGGTTCAAAAAAGAAACAAAAAGAAATTCCAGAAACTTCAACAGAAGATAAACAAGATGAAAATGTCGTAGAAAACGTTAAAGCTGATGAAAAACAAAATGAAAGTCAAGATAACAAAAAAGGTATTTAGAAAATAAATAAATAAATCTATTTTTACAGGCAACTAAAGATTTTTTTTTATTTTAAAATAGAGGAAAGTAAACTTAGTTGGTTTGGAAAATTTTTCACAAAAAAAGAAAATGGGAAAGTTGCAAATTTAGGAGAAGAAATTTCATTTTATTATGATCCTGTTCAAAAAAGATGGGTTAACAAAAAGGTAAAAAGATCTCAATTGCCATTTATAAGATCAGATGTTATATATCATGTACATACTAATGACTTTTTTTTTGATTAGGGTGGAACGGAATCTTCAACTTTAACACCGCCACCACCACCACCACCACCGACTAGAGCAAAAACAACATCACCAACCCCCTCAGCATCAATGGCTGTTTCTAATAACAACAGCAACAACAACAAAAATTCTACATCATCTGATAGCTTAATAGGACCGCCACCAGGTATTAATCCTAAAAATATATCAACAACAACAACACCGCCACCGTTAAGTATAGGAAGCCGTAGAAGTGCATCTAGCACAAGTAATCGCCGTCCTGTTCGAGCTAGATATGTGGATATTATGAATCAAATACCACCTTCAAATTAACTTTACAAAAAATTATTAAATATTAATAATAAATTCTATATCTGCTATAAAATTCATGTCATTACTATGACATGTTTGTATGATATTATTGATTTTTTTCTTCTATTGTATATTTTAAAAGAAAATGTATTTTTTACTATATTTATTGTTATTTAGATTTAGTTAATGAAATTTTTTTTTTAATTTATTAATTTTCAACTTTAAACGTTTTATTTAATTAAATAAATTAATTGTTTACTGTTTTCTTTATTAACAAGATTTACTTATTACAGGGGTTTCCCCAGCCCCATTTGTCCTTTTTGAGGGGAGTGAACAATACCGGCTTATCAAGTTTACATATGTATACAGTCAAAGCTAAGCTCGTTAAATTCATAGGTCTGGCGCAGCGAAATTTATGAAGTTAACGAATTACGCCATTACCAAGCAAGAATCGCTCTTTAATTTCATGATATAATGAGAATAGTAATAATAAAATTTTTATTGTAAAAAAGTTCTTCGTTATTGCTTTTCATAAATTCCATGTTTTTCAAGAAAAGATAAACCGTTTTTTGTTCTTTTTTTGTCAAGTGAAGTCTTATTATCATCTATATTCCTACGTTTAATCTGAAAGCTTGAATTCATTTTTTGCAATAGTTAATCTTAACAAGTGAATCTACCACTTACATAATAGTAACTATTATATTTTAATGGGTACACAAGATATGGATTTAAAGGAGCGAGATTTTTTATATGAAATAAGAGTTTTATGATCGAGATTTTATTATCAATAGCAAAGTTTTGTTACATTATTTCCTTTTTTAGAGGAGAAAAGGGTGTACCATAAAAAAACCGAATACCTCACTAAATATGATTTTGAACCCTTAAAACCAGTGTTAGAAATAGACACCTTTTAAGTAAAATGTTTATTATTTAAAAAAAATAAAAATAAAAAAAAATAAATATTCTATAAAAAAATTTTTTTTGATGAGAAACAAAAAATAAATAATAATGATGATAATAATAACGAAACGAAGAAATGAAATATTTACAAAAATAATATTATATATTTATTTTTTAAATATAATCATTATTATTTTGTATTATTAATAGTACTAGCAGTAGTATTAGCAGCAGCAGCAGCAGCAGATAATTCAACCATTTGATTAATATTATTGTCCATGATTTGCCACTCATCTTCTCTTGGTGCACTCAACTAAATAAAAGATTATAATTTATTACACATTTAAATAATAAATAGTTTAATTGATTAATTGACTAATTACCTCTCCAACATCATATATATGAACATGACCATCAGAAGATCCTATGGCAGCTTTTCTCCCTTCTTGATCCCACTCCATCTTATTCAATGCACTATTACCACAATGTGTGGTTACATATGGTACCTATAATAACAAGAATAGGTAATAATAATAGAATTTATTATAAATCAACATTTCTCATTACTTTCAGTCTTTCTCCAATAAAACATATGAATTGTTACCTCAGTGTCAGCATTTATATTCCAAATTGAAAAGTTTCCTTTGCCATCAACAGTACCAAAAAGAGCTGGATGTATAGGTGACCATTTAACATCATAAACATAATCATCTGCACCTTCAAATGAGAAAATAGGAAAAATGTTCTGAACTTCCATTGAAGGTTTGGTAATGGATTTTGCTTTCCATAACTTGACAGTCCAATCCACTGAAGAAGTTAAAAACAAGTCATTGAATCCAATTGAACCATTGATTGGATGAAAATCTAGACCAGTAATTGGACCCCAGTGACCTCTATAAAAATCATATTGATTAATACCAGCCTTGCCACCAGCATGACCATATCTGTTGGCTTGATAAATATTTCCTTCTTCAGTACCAACCCAAAATGCAGCAGTTTCATTTGTTGGGAAACCAAATGAAGTTACTGACACTTCATCTGTTTTACTATGTTCTGAATTTACTAATTCCAATGTTTCCTGTAATAATAATATTATTATTAAACATGAATCGCAGATGTGAGTTGAAAGAATTTAATTATTTCAATAAATAAAATAAATCCAATTGAATATTATTTACCTGAGGTTGAGCCAACATATCCAATTGCCAGAAACATACTAGACCATCAGTACTTGCAGATATTAAATTATGAGCATTTTGGGTGCCAATCATTTGCATAGTGTAGACAGGGTGAGTATGACCTGAAGTGCCGAGTGGTGTTTTGAGAACTGGCAAGGTTTTTGCTCTCATGTCCCAAATCAAAATTTGGCCAGAATAAGTCCCACCAATTACAATACTTGGATCAAAATCAGAAAATCTAGTTGTAAGAACATCAGACTACAAATAAGAATTAAAATTTTTTAATTATTTATTTTATATTAATTACAAAACCAGAAATAAAAATGACTAACCTGAGAATAAAATACATATTCTGGCTTATCTTTTGTATGAATATTCCATACCAAAACAAGTCCATCAGGTTCGTTGACTGCAACAACATTTTTATTGTATGAAGCAACACAATATTCTGGATTCTAAATAATTTTTGATTAAGTTAAAACGATTTTTATCTAGCTCTAAAAAAATTTAAAATTTTACCTTTTTAGACCATTTAACATCAGTAACTGACCGATTTTTGTTCCATTTTTCATCATAAAATGAAAATAAAAGGTTTACACGAGATCCAGTATTTTCATAACTGAGAAAGAGTTAATTATTATTACTTTAAATTTTAGTAAAAAATTCCTACCAAAATTCTAAAAAAAAACCTTGTCAAATCTTCAGTGACAGTGTAATCTTTCATAAAATCATAAGTTTCATTGATTGCAGTTTCAACTATTCCAGTTGTATTGGAAATAAATTCAATAAAATTTGATGAAGAAAGGATTGTAATTTTTTCATCATCTGACAATACTAAATAATAATAATTATTATAATTTATTGTTAGTGGTTAGTGATTTATTAATTATTTAATTATCATTATTATAAATATAATATAATTAATTACATTTTCTTTTATGAGCTTTCTTTTTTGCTTCTTCTTCTCTCCTATGTTCCTTCTCTAATTCTTCTTGTATTGCTTTTTCCTCATCTTCAATTTCTTTTAAAATCTTTTCTCGAAGCTCTTCTTCAGTTGGTGGAGGTGGTACAAAAGAAGTAGTTGTAGTTTGTACTTCTCTGTTATGAAGAACAATATCCTAACAATTATATAAAAGTGATGACAATTAATTGATAAATAATTGATCGATTAATTGGTCGACTGGAATTTATTGCACAAATGTTAAGGATGAAGTAATGAATACCTTTGGAGCTATATCTATGATAACAGCCTCATGAGAAGAATATTCAGGTACATAACGTGGTGGGTTAGTTAATGATGCTGAAGCAATTGAAGGACTAAAAACATTAATTAATATTAATGTATAATAATAATAATATTGAAAAGTAAAATAAATCTAACAAATAATATAGTAACAATAAATAACCTTTGAGGCACAGATGAGGATGCAGAAACGGTGGTGGTAAAGGCATCAGATGTAATTGAAGAAATAGAATCTCTAATGCTACCACCACCACCTTCTTTTGGTAAAGAAGTTGTTGTTATTTCAGTTAATTTACCACTAGTTGACGAAGAAGCAGAAACTTTTGGTTCCAAAAGTTCATTTAACAATTTATTCAAATCATCTTTTTTATTCTTTAAATAAATTAATAAAATTAATTGTACAATTACATGATTAATTTTAATAATTCCAATATAATGAATATATATTTATTACCGACTTCTTTTCCGGTTCCGATGTGGGAGTTGGAGTACGATTGCGATCTTCTCTTGCCCTTCGAAGTTCTTCAAGTTTTAGGCGTTTCTTTTGTAATTCTTCTTTTCTACGATCGGCCATTTCGTTTGCAATTAATTATTTATGTATTGTAATTGTATTCAGAATTTTTTTTTAGAAAAAAATCTAAACTGACTAATTAATATTAAATTGATCATATGATAATGCATAAGAAAAGAAAGAAATTGTCTAATGCAGACATTTTCCTATTTTGTAAAATTTTTTCGTAATTTTCTATATAGGCATATATTGTGTTTCATATTATTCAGCACATTCGAACAGATTTAGAAAGATCATCCTGCCTAGTATATATATATAAAAGCATTAAGTACCCACAAAAAAAAACAGTCAAATAAAGATAGCATGATAGACATTCTTTGTACAATGATCAACAAATCACAAGTAATTAATTATAGGTGATTCTATAAATGGTGCAATTACTTACTTGAAGGTGATTATCTAAGGTTTTTAATTTACAAGGAACAAATATATAAAATTCAGTTCATAATTGTGAACAGTTGAATGATTAATTAACTAATGTGGATATTGTTACTTACACTGAACCATATTGATTTGTTTTCTGTATAGCTATTCTCAAATGTGAAATATAATCAACATTTAGAGGACTATAAATTAGTTCACCTAATGTTAAGATAAAAAGAATTGTGTTGGATAAATTTGTTTGATGAATATTATTAGTAATAAATATCTTATTGAAATCAGAACATGGAATGGGATTTTCATGTCTACTATATAATCATTATCAAGATAATGAATGATTGGTATTTGCTTCTCATGTATATTAAACAATTTATAAGGCAAAATGAATGCTGAAGATAGAAAATGACTCCTGGACAATTTGGAAACACCAATGATGAAACTGTTCAATACACAACATTTGATTGTTGGAAATTTACCAGCATTGGAGTACACCACTTTATCTAAATCATTACAGCTATTCCCAACCTTTCCTCATGTACATAAGGCTACTTGATCTCATCCCCAATGATATGATACAACTAAATTCCAGGGGGTTATGGTCTTGGAGTTTATCAACATTGTCAAGGACACCTTGTAGATCCTAATCTTCTCTCACAGCACTTGTTGGGCTCTGGCATTAGAGGAATGAAATGGTTCAGGTTAATTACAAACACTAACTTTATTCTAATGGGAAAGGGGTAACATAGAGTAAGCACTAACCTTCATCCGGTCAGTAATTAATGCCAGCCATATTGGAATCAATGGCCAGGCCTGGTCTGAGATGGAAGATAAGGGTTCACATCAAAAGAGCCCTTGTGGAAGCTGTTAAAGCCATTCATTTGTCTGAAGCCTTTCAACTTATTAATTGCATCCCCTGTGGAAAAAATCTATAGGATGAGATGTGCATTGCACAGCACTTGCATGTTTGTAGTAGGACATCTATTGGCATTGGACATAGATATTATCCTACACCAGTAGTTTCAAATCCACCACCACCCTATACAATGACAATAATATTAAGCATAAGATCATCAACAACAACAAGTAACTACAACATTCACTCAAGCAACTCCAACCCACTACTTCAATTGCCAACCCAAAGCAATAGCAGAACCCCACAAACTTCATAGATAAGTTACTGCCACAGCTAAAGATGGCTCCTCAATTAATTGCGGCATATAAATTGAATTGTGGTTGTGGTTGTGACATATAAAAATTGAATTGCAGCTAATTGCAGTTCCCATCTTTAGTCATAGCTGGGTCAAATTCATATTAATTTTTTTTGTCAGTAATTATAATAGGGTCAATCTGCAGGTCAAATTATTATCTACACCAAAAATGTTGGTTAGGTTTAATAGAGACAAATCTATTAATAGTCAATGATTTATTAGGGGACCAAAAATTTTGTGTAGCAAATTTTTTTCTGACATATTCATTCAAAAATAAAACCAATACTTTATATATAGTAACTCTTTAAAAAAATATTAAAATATAAAAATAGTTAATTGGTGAGTCAGAGAAAGATATGCGTTTTTAACAAAATGTTGCAAAAGTTGCCAATTGTCAATCTTTACACAAAAAATCATATTATTCTTTTGTGCCACAGGATGATATTACTTTTATGTACAGTCAACCCTCCATAAGTGCACATTATGTCTCATTTCCAACTTCGGGACTTAAGAGATAAATGCATCCCTCCATAATCCTATAAAAAATTTGGTACAGAAAATGTATGGAAAAGTGTATGGAATGAAATTCACTTTTTTCCATACATTTTTGTATGGAAAAGTACAGGAAAATCCCTCTGAAAATGTATGGAAGGTGCAGTTTCCTTACATTTTCCATTAAAAAAAAATAGTTGGAAAACATATGGAAATGCACCTTCCGTACATTTTCCATACATTTTCAGAGGGATTTTCCTGTACTTTTTTTTCTGTACAGAAAAATGCAAATTTCAGGTAAAATTCCATACAAATTTCATACAGTTTTCCGTACATTTCTGTGCCAAATTTTTTATAGGGTAAATGCACTGCACAGTCTTTTCCCAATCCCATTCATATAAAACCACCCTCTCTAAATGCACACCCTTGACTTACACATGATCAATGTGCAACAAGAAACAAAATGTAATTTACTAATTCTTTTCTTTTTAATCAACAAAGAGTTATTATGCAGATAATAAAACTTATAGGCAGAATCATTAAGAACCACACAGAGGATAAAGAGTTATATGCATTTTTTTTAATAAAGAGTCAACTAAATAATTGTTAATTATAAAGAATTAAATGAATGTATACTAATTCTTCTTTTTATTTGACTAAGGGTATCAAGATAGTGAAACTTATAGGCAAAATTGTTATGAATTAAACAGAGGATAAAGATTTTTTTCAATAAAGAATTAAATGAATCTATACTAATTCTTTCTTTTTTAATTGACAAAGAGTAGAGATGTTAATCAGTCCTGAACAGTCTGGTTCAGTCCTGGGACTGGCAGTCCCATCTTGGGACCAGACCAGACTTAAGTCCCAGAAAGAGTCCTAGAAAAAGTCCTAGAAAAAGTCCCAAACTTTTTTCAAACAGTTAATAAAAATATTTATTACAGTATATACTTCTATTATATATCTTTATTCCTATTTATATATTTTAATATATTTTATATTGAAACAATCTTTGCTTCAATCTAACTTTTAAGAATAAACTTGTTCATGTTTTTTCAGGATCAAATTTATTGCAAATTGGACTTAGTATATATTTAGCCATGCTAAAGCTGACTCACTTGACACACTAGTTGCTTGTATTGAAAAAAAAAATTTCACAAGCCATGACAAAACAGTATAATTAGGATCTTTAAATCTTGTAGAATACCAATCCAGGCAATTTTGATAAATTCATTGTTTGAAGTTGATTGATTATAGTGATTTTGAAATGATCTTTTAAAATAACTACATGTTGAT